CCCCCATTTTTGTGCTACCCTCCCCTTTTTGGGAGGCTCTTTCCCCTTTTTTTGGGGTCTCTTTCTCTTTTTTGGACTCTTTCTCCCTCTTTTTGGGCTCTTTCCCCCTGTTTTTGGCTCTTTCACCTCTTTTCTCCTTTCCCCTCCTTTTAAGGCTCTTTCCCTCCTTTTTGAGCTCTTTTCCATCTTTTTTTTCCATCTTTCCCCTTGCTGGGCAGGCTCTTCCCCCTCTTTTTCATGCTCTTTTCCCCTTTTTTCCTTCCAACCCCCACAAGCCCCTCCCCCTTTGCCCCCCCAGGTGTCCCCACCTGGCTGAAATCAGGAGCCCTCCAGGCCTGTGCCAGCTCCCTCGTGTCCCCTGTCACTGTCCCGTCGGGGCCCCGCAGGTCATTGGTTGTGGCCCCATCGTAGTCCCCGCAGAGGCCACAGAGAGTCCCCCGAGTGTCCTTTGTCACCTCCAGGGCCACCCCCTGGGCTCCCAGTTCCACCTGGAATCCTGGGATCCACCCGATCCGGAGGGTCCCGCCTGACTCTGTGATGTTCAACTTCCCCGAGAGCTCCGCGGGGAGGGGGGTGGGGACTCCGTTGAGCTGGAAAAGCCAAATTGTGAGGGATTTCGGTATTGGGATGTGGGAGGGGGGACTGGAGGAGTCTGGGTGGGAAAGAAGGAGTTTGGGGAAAATGATGGGATGGGTCAAGGCATGGTGGGATGAAGGGACAACCTGTGTAGCTTCATGAAATTGGCAAGAAATGAGCAATTTTAGCAAAAATGAGGGGGTGGGTCAGTCTATGGATGTGTCATAGTGACCATTGCCCACAGAACTGCTTCCCTGGCATGCAATTGGGAGAAAGAGGAGCAATTAGGGAAAAAAAGAGCAGTTTTAGGCCAAATGATGGGATGGATCAAGGCATGGGGGAGTGGGATGAGGGGCAACCCATATAGGTGCCTCTCTGGCACAAAATTGGGGGGAAAAAAAGAGTGATTGGGGGGAAAAAGAGCAATTTTAGTCAAAATGATGAGGTGGGTCAAGGCACGGTGAGGGACAACCCATGTAGGTGCTTCCCTGGCATGAAATCAGAGGAAAAAAGAGCAATCTGGGGCAAAATCAAGGTTAGAACATCTTGTGGTGATGGGATGGGACAACCCACATGGACTTTTTCCCAGCATGAAATAAAGGAGAAAACCCAGATTTTTGGTTAAAATCAAGGTCAGGAGAACTTCAGGGTGGCACTTTTGGGCCCAACTCACCCAGACCCTGCCATCCGTGCGGGTGGTGATGAGCCCATGGTGGGTGAAGAGGTGAAGGGCCACCACCCCTGGGTGGTCCCCGATGTCCCCAATGACCCCCAGCAGCCGGAACCAGGTAGGGGCCTGGTGGTCACACACAGTGGCCACCACGTAGATACCGGTGGCCAGGGTGGCCCCGGGGAGGCCATCGAAGGTGACAAAGTGGGTGGGGGAGGACAGGAGGCACCGCCCTGGGCGGGGGACACAGGTCCGGGTGCCATTCAAGAGGTCACAGGTGTGGCCCAGGGGGCAGGAGAAGGGGCGGCACTGGAGCCCCCCTGGGCCCCGGCATGTGCAGGACTGCGAGCAGTCCCGGGTCAGGATGGTCTGGGCGATCTGTTTCCAGGGAAAAGGGGGGGAAAAGTGGGAAAAAGTGGTCAAAAAATAGGGATGATGTTGCTGTGAAGGTGTCATGGTCCATGTCCCCATGTCTCCCCACATCCCCATCCCCCCCATGGGGACACTTAGGGGGGACTGGGACCTGCTGGGGGACACTAGGAATGCTGGGGGAGGCACTGGGGACACTGGGAATGCTGGGAGAGGCACTGGGGACACTGGGACATTCTGGAGACATTGGGGGACATGGGGACATTCTGGGGGATACTGGGAACGCTGGTGGAGACGCTGGGATACTGGGATATTCTTGAGACACTGGGGGACACTGGGAAGGACAGTGGGACATTCTGGGGGACACTGGGAATGCCAGAGGATGCTGGGAAATTCTGAGGGATGCTGGGGGAAGCACTGGGGGAAACTGGAACATTTTGGAGACATTTGGGGACACTGGGACTTTCTAGGGCACACTGGGAATGATGGAGGAGGCACTGGGGTTCTGGGACATTCAGGGGGATGCTGGGAAAAACACTGGGTGATACTGGTATAAATTAGGAGCCATTGGTGAAGGGGACAGAGAAAAACTGGGAGGGATTGGGAACACCAGGGAACACAGACAGTGGGGAAGGACTGGAATGCACTGTGAGGTAACTGGGATGTACTGGGAGGGAAGTGGGGACAGTGGGGGCACACCGGAGGGGAGTGGGATCAACTGGGGATGGCTAGAAGAGACTGGGGGGGATTACTGGGACAGACTGGGGATACTGAGCGGAACTGGGGGAGACTGGAAGGGTCTGGGGGGAAACTGGAGCATACTGGGAGGTAAAAGGGACACTGCGGGGTGCAGTGACGGGGAGTGGGATCAACTTGGGAAAACTGGGAAGACCCAGGGCTGGGACTGAACTGGGCGGGACTGGGAGGCACTGGGGCCACACCCACCTGGAAGTACCGCCCTTGGTGGAAGCAGCCGCAGTTCCCCGGGGGAACGCAGCGGGCGCCGTCGAAAAGGAGCCCCTCAGAGCACTGACAGCCCTCGAAGCACCGCCCGCTGCAGGGGGGCGGGGCCGACACACCTGCGCAGGTGCGGGCACAGGTGCGGGCACAGAGCTGGTACTGGGAGCGGGGGGGGCACAGCAGGGCTGGGGACGAGACAGAGGGGTCACCGAGGGGCACCTGGGGCCAAGGGGCTCAATGGGGGTCATATTCCCAACCCCAAAAATTCCTGCTATCCCAGATCCCTGACCCCCAAATCCCCAACCTCCAAAATTCCCATG